ATATTTAAAAAAAAAAATTTTTTAATTTTTATTTTTTTTTAAAAAAAAATGTTGTCTCAAAAGAAAAAAAAATAGCATATATGCAAAAAAAATTTTTTTCTTATATACTTATTATTTGTGTACACATTTAGATGTGCATACTTTTCTCGCATATTTAGCATGTACACGTAAAAATATATTTACTTAATTTATTTGCTTAAATGTCATTTAAAAGAGGTCAATAGTCCTATCAATAAGTTATGCTCCACCACCTTGAAAAAAATAATAATATTATTTTATTTGGCCTGTTTTATAATTTCAATACCTTTGCATAAATATTTATCAATTTTAACACTTATATTATCTTTCAATTTATATGGTTTTATAATTTTTCTTCTATAAATATCATAACAATCTTTAATTTTCTATTCATGGATAATTTGGGGATTTTTCTTATTCTCATCGGTAACTCGTAATAAATTCTTTAATTGAATCTTATATGTCTTTCATCCTATTATATAATAATCTGATGTTTGAGATATTTGAATTTCTTCACCCCTATAGCATGTAGGTTCTTTTAACTTTCCATTCTCAATTTTACTCACTCTACGTAAAAAAGACAATAAGGTTTGTATTTATTATTACCATTATAATGCTTAAATTGATTCTACTAATAATATGATAGTTCATATGAAATAATTCTACTAACATTAATATATATAGATGATACTAATGGTTTCTCTTTAAAACTTTTTAAAATTTTCATGCAGTTGTTTTCACCAATTGTTTAAATGAATTTTCTCATTTCTATATTATTTTCAGTTAATGATTTTGAAAACCCAAGACATTTATAATCCACTTTGAAATTGGTAAAATAAGGTGCTTCTCTTGAAGAATCGTGAAATATATTATTATAAATTATTATTACCTTTTTCATTATTTCTTCAATAGGTATTTTTTTTTTCTTCATATATAGTCTTAAGTTGATTTATTAATTGACTATTCAAAGATTTTTATAGTTTTTTAAATAGTCAACAAAGAGTATTTAGGCGAATTTCTACTTGTTTTATTTATAATAAGTCGATTTAAGTAGATAATTATATTTTTCTTATATAACTACCTATTCATAATGAATTAAACGTAGTTATTATTATATCTCATTGTTTTTATTATTTTTCTGGACAATTTTTATAAAATTAAAAAAAAAATTATAAATAAATTATTTTTTTTTCTAAAAAGAAAACTTAAATTTTTCTTTTTATATAAATTTGCTAATAATATCATGATATTTTTTAGACATATCTCTTCTACATTTAAGGAAGTATGCATTTTATTAACTTCTTTGTGATTTTTATGTGTATACAAAATATTTCTGTATATATGCGTTTTCATGTATTTCTTTGTATATGTTTTCTAATAATCATTTATCCACAAGATATACTTTAAAATAAATCACCATCATTATATAAATTTTCAAAAAGATCTATGAAGTTTTTTATTTATTAATACAAGAAATATAGAGAACTCATTTAGTAAATTGGTTTCATGGAAGTAAATTTATTTGATATTGTGGAGTTAATAAAACAATAAAAAAAATTCAACTGAATTTATAGTAACCTAATATCAGTCGTACTATTGAGGAATATGTTACAAATTGTTCAAATTATAAAGTAATACATGGTAAGCTTGAGCCTAATATTAGTCATTATCAAAATCTAATATTCTTGGCATGTTTTCTTTAAATGTTGTCATTCTTAGAACATTATAAGGAGAATAATATTTTATGTAAGTAGAAACATATCATTATCCACAGCTTATGTTAACTAATGTTATTAAAAGAACTCTCACTGCTAGTTATACAATTTTATGATGAAAAACATCTGGATTCCTATATTTGGATGACTTAAAAGCATTATTACAGATTGTTATTCTATATATATGAGACAATAATTTCAAAAATAATTCACAAATTATGGGTTAAATTATATCATACAATTTCTTATTATCCCTAATGAAATGATACAATGAAGGTCTTCATAAAAGTTTTGATGTATACTCATGATTATATACAAAAGTACATGTCTATTGATAAGATAGTAAGAAATAGAGTATTGATAAATAATATTACTAGTCATGGAGATTTAAGAAGAATACCATATTTTAACATGTTTGAAATGGATTATATATGTATTGTTTTTTCAAAAATATTGCCTAAAAATACATCAGATATGAAATTAATTTGTTTAAATACTATATAGAAACAAGTACATAAACATTTAAATATATTTAAAGAAAGATCACTAGTGATTAAAGATATCATTATTGAAAGTGTTATTTCATATAATCTATCTAAATATGAACAAAATCATTTGAGGCATTTTAGTGATAATAATCACTACAAATCTAATTAACCTTTTTTACATAGGGTAACTAAAATTGAGAATAGGGAGGTAAAAGAAGTATCTATATACTATTGGTTATTAAAAGATATTTTAACCTTTTTGAGAATAAAAGATAATAGATATATGGAAAATAAATAGTTATCTGTGCAAAATTTAGATTAAAAAAAAAAAAATAAGTTGTTTATTTTTTTGTTTTCTTTTCAAATATTTAAAATATATAAAAATATATATACATATTTTTTTTTTTTAAATGATTTAATGGTTGAAAAATTAAAAATAAGAGTTTTTAACTAAAAAGTTTTTTGTAGTATATTTGGTTTAAATTTATATAGGAAAATTTTATATTTACGATAACAAAATTTTAGCTTATTGTAGTATTTATTTATTATTTTTTTTTTTTTTTTTGTAAATTATTTATGTTTGTTAATTTGAGAGCAATGAATTTGAATTTCTAAACGTTACTTGTAATATTATAAATGAAATATATGCAATTATAAATTGATTATTAAATGGTATTTAAATTTCTAATGAAAATGAGGATTTTTGTTAAAAAAAAATAAATGCCTCTAGAAAAGAATAAATGTTCAATGAAATACACTACATATAACAAATTTTATTGCTTTATAACATTAAAATTATACATAAATTTATTAAATTAGTAGAAGGAACTCCACATGCTCTTTATTAATCATAGAAATAAAGAAATTAAAATCCCACTTGTAATTATCAAATTATTACGTAATAAAACTAAGGATATATATGAAATCCATTTAAAGATTTTTATACCGGTTAATGAAAGGAATATGAAAAAGTCACAACCCCTGCATAAATTGGAACCTAAAAATTATTTTGACATTTATGAATATGTTGTAACACTCTGTATATTGAATTGGGACAGAGATAATAAAATAAAAAAAGATATACAAAAGCGCTTAAATTTGTAAAACAAGTTAAAATGAATAAAATAAAATAAAACAATAATATTATTTTTACCAAGGTGATGAATAATGTTCTATAAAAGGTATTATCGATCAATTTTAAATAATGTATAAAATTCTATTTAAGTAAATTTATTCATAATTCGTACATATGAATATATGAGAAAAGTTTATACCCCTTTATTCGTACAATAAAAATACATAATCTAAAAAAAAAAATATATAATTTTTTTCTTTGTTCTCGATATATATAAAGAATAAAAAAGAAGGGTTTTGTGCTTTCTTATTTTAGTGTGCAATATAGATTAAAAAAAAAAAATAATGCAAAAATAAATCATTTTTTTTTTCTTTTTCTTTTTTGTGATATAATGTCTTTTAAAAGAAAATTTATTTTTTATAATTTTTTTGGTAATATAAAATGTATCTGTTTAATAAAACAAATTATCAAATATAAATAATCCATGTAAAAATTATTTTACAATTAACAAAATTAGAAGAGTTTTCTATACGTTTTCTTTATTAATTTATTTGTTCAATACTAGTATATTCATTCAACGAACAATAAATAAATCAATAAATGCTTTACATCCAATGATTTACAAGTCTATAGTTTCCATAATGTTATCCATTGGTATATCACACATAATATTATAATACATTTTATATTTTCTCTTTAAGTTTATGATGAATATGAATCTTTCTAAAATAATTTGTAACAGCCACATATTTGTTATTTCTTTATTTGCAGAAGTTGCTATTATTCTACTATGATAGAAATTAGATAATATCATTCTTATCAACAAACAAGATTATGTTTTATACAAATTTAGTTATGCCACAAAATCTTTCAATTCTTTGAACCATTTGATATACTCTTTTAATGATGTTCCTTTAAACATAGAAAGCCTCTTAGATATATTTATTTTTTACACTCTATCATCTTACTCGTTTATAAACTTATATGATTCATTTATATTTGTACTTCAAAAATATATAAATTTAGCCTCTCTATATCAATATCTATTATTATATTATTTTAATCTGATGTTGATTCTTTTTATTTCGTCTTTGAATAATACACTCATTGTCTTTAAATAATTTATTAATTACTTGTTCTACGATTTATCAGTATTGAACAAAAAAAATAAAAAAAATAATTAAAGATCATGTAGAGAAAACTCAATTTATATTATTTATTAAAAAAAAAATAAATTATTACATAAATTATTTTTTATTGATAATTTTCATTAAATATTAACTATATTAATTACTTGTTTTTTAAGTTTACATTATATTCTATAGAACGTAAAATTTCATATTATATTTTTAAATTTTCACAAAAACATATACATATTCAACAAAAAGGAAAAAGATTAAATAAAAATTGTCTTTTATTTATTTATTAATTTTTTTTACATAAATTTTTTTTTAATTATTTGCATATACAAAAAAAAATATAATATGTTTTTTTTTTACTTTGTATCCCTTTAGTTCACATATCTAGATAAGTATATTTCTCATTTATACGTAGAATAAACAAATACATTTACTTAATATATTTAAGCATCATTTAAAAGAGACCTATACTATCATTTATAGGAAAGTGCATGAGCTATTCTTTTCTGTGTTTTTTTCTTTGTCAAATCTTAATTTTAATTAGATAATTTATTTATATTCATTTTTATGATTTTTTTTTATCATCATCTGAAGTATTAAATGGATCAATAAAACTTAAAGCTCCTACATATCCTAAATATATGGCGAGTGCCTTTACTGGAATATGTGGTGTTCTCGAATTATTTAATGTAAGCATTGCCATTGTAAATAAAAATGGTGCAGCCATCAATGACCTTTGAAGCATATTATTACTTTTTCCCTTTAATCCACTTGAGATTTTATTAGATTCATTTCCTTCATTTTTTTTCAAGCTTTCCAATGATTCATCATTTCCTTCGTCTGTTTCAGAATCTGATTCATTTAAACTTGGCTCTTGTTCCGGATTATTTCCTTCCCTATTTACATCATCTCCAATACGTAATAAATTTAATTTTAATTGATCTGTTATTCCTTCATTACTAGATTCTGACAAATTTCTTTTGTTTATTAAATCAACTATCCCCCCCAAGATTTCTTTGGAATTCTCAAATTTATATGTGTACTAAGAATTATATGAAATATTAATAATTTAAAAATATATATTTTATTTTATAAATGAAATATCAATTTAAAATAAAAAATATGAAATATCAACAAAATACAATCTTTCTTAAGTTTTATTATGGCCTTACACTACTGAAACCCTCTAATACCATTATTAAAAGGGCAAATAAAAAAAATTTAGAAAAAAGAGATATGTTTGTTTTCTGTTTTTTATTGCATATCTTTGAATTTTGTATATATGTTGTCATATAACCTTTAGCTACATAATCACCGTATCCTGGCATATTAATAATATTAAATATAATATTACTTTTCATATTCTTTTTTTTTTTTTTTTTTTTATAGAATTAAATAAATCTTTTTTAATAAAAATTTAATTTAATTTAATTATTGTTATTTTATTTTTTTTTTTTTTTTATAGATTTAAATAAATCTTTTTTAATAAAAATTTAATTTAATTATTGTTATTTTATTATTTTTTTTTTTTTATAGAATTAAATAAATCTTTTTTAATAAAAATTTAATTTAATTATTGTTATTTTATTTTATTTTATTTTATTTTTTTTTTTATAGAATTAAATAAATCTTTTTTAATAAAAATTTAATTTAATTATTGTTATTTTATTTATTTTTTTTTTATATAAATTTATTTATTTTAAGGTAAAATTGGCATTTAAAATTTTTAAAAAATTAAAAATGAATATTTAAATTTAAAATAATAAATAAAAGTAATAAATCTTAATTCAAATATGAAAATTAAAATTACTTATAAATATATTTTAAATTTTTAATTAAAAAAAATTATAAAAGTATCATGTAATTTTATAGATGAAATATAATTTATTAATAAAATTTGAAACTCCTAATTGTTAAATATTTGCTTAGTGATTAGGAATTTTTTTTAATAATCTTTTTTAAAAAAAGATGTAATCTCTACAAATTTGCATGTATTACAAATAACTATTTAATTGAAGAAATGCTAATTTTATTCATGACCCTAATTTGGAATGATATTGTTAAATGATATTTTACCAAAATTTTCTGGCATATAATAATTTTTATAAAAACTTGAACAATAAGTATAGTAATAGTTGCATCACAATTTAAATTCTGATGTGATGATGAAAATATACGTAGATTTTTAAATTGTAATATTACAAAAATTTTTAGAATAACGTAATAGAATTTTTTTTGATAAATATAATCAACTATAATTTTATTATTTAACAAAATTTTAAGATATAATAATATATATATTTATAAAGTTTAAGTTTTTGGTTAATGGTCAATTAAAGGCTTCATTGATCTTTTTGAAATTTTGTATAATAATAGTGGACTATTTTAAATATTTTCCTATGTATGCAAAATAATTAATAATCATTTACAAAGATATACATAAAGACATGTATAGCAATATTTTGCAGGTACAAAAAAACCACAAAGTAGCTTACGAAAAAAATGCATATCTTATAAAATGTAGTAGAGGTATAATTATGAATAAGCATGATAATAATAATAATAATAATAATAATAATAATAATAATAATAATAATAATAATAATAATAATAATAATAATAATAATTTATAAAAAATTAATTTTGCATTTTTTTCCTTGAATCTGTGGTATTCTTTTTTTTTTATAGCTTTAACAAAACTATTGAAAAAGGTTAAAAAAACAAGATATAAAATAAATATATTTATTTTATTTTTAACAGATAATTATATGAGAAATATATAATTACCTTTTTATATTAATTTTATGATAAATAAAATAAGTAGAAATTTCTTCCCATGTTCTCTCTTAATTTAACTATTTAAAGCAATACAAAAGTCTCTGAACTGTAAATTAATAAATGAGCTACAGAAGTTAAAAAATAGAAATTTAAAATTATTACTTGAATAAATGTTTACTATAAATTGATATATTAAATGGAAATTCATATACTTTTATTGTATTTTAAGAAGTCATACTAATAAATAGAATGTGGAAAAATGCATACTTATTTTATTTATTATAATACCACTTATTATAGATAATTATATTCACTTAATATAATTATACCATATAATATAAAATATGTAATTTATTTATTTTATATTAAAAATATTTTAATTGATATTATGCTAATATAAATCTAGCTTTTCTTAATGCATTAAATTTAATTATTATGCTTATGTTGTTTTTTATAAATACATTATATGTTCAGAATTTATTGTTACTTTTTATTTTATAACATATTACCATCAAAAAAAGACAATTCTTTCCAAAAAAAAATGTATAGAAAAAGAATATAAACATCTAATTTTCTTTTCTTTTCTACACATATTTAAGTGCATGTATTTTGAGTGTATGTTTAATAAAAGATATAATTAACCTTTTATGAAATAATAGTTATATTAAGTCATAAGGAAATTAATGAGTTAACCTTGAGCATATAGAATTTATAAAAAAAAAAAAAAAAAATTTTTTTTGTATTTCATCTTTTTAAGGGGTTTTTATTAAAAATTATTTTTAAAATTCAATTCAATTTTTCTATTTATTACTGATCATATTTTGTTCGTTAAAAATTATACTTGAATAAATTTTTGAATTGGTAAAAATTAAATTAAAAGTATAAAAGATAAGAAAAAATAATTTTATTTTTTTATTAATATTTAATTTTTATTCATTTAAAAGACTTATGGTAACTTTAACTTAAATTTACTAATTTATTTGAAAAAATTATTTTAAATATAAAAACTATCTTTCACGAAGATATATATTTTTAATAAAAATAAAGATAGTTTTTACTGAAATAAATAAATCCCAATAAAACAATAAATGCTTAGCTATATAAATAAAATACATATGGATTACTAATTTATGTCTTTAATATAATTTTTTATAACATTTAAAATTATTGAAGATACTGTACATGTTTTTTATTAATAGTATATTCAATACTCTAAAAAAGCCATTAAATAATCAATTAATAAATCAATTAATGACAAAGACAATAATATACAAAATGATACATTTAGAACTCAATTGAATCAATGATTTATTAATTGGCCATTTAATGACTTCATTAGTGTTGAGAAAACAAATTAATAAAGAGAATCTAGAGTAAATTCTATTAATTTCCTTAATTATAAAATAATCTATTATATAAAAATTATTTTTTTTTGATAATCTGTAAAAATTAATAATTTTATTAATTATTCATTATTTAATTTACACAATACTTTATAAACGAAATATTCCATATTGCATTTTTAAATTATTTATAAGAACGAACACATTCAACAAAAAAAAAAAAAAATAGACAAAAATTATTATATATTTATGCATTAATTTTTTTTCTTTTTAGTGTCATACCTCAAAAAAAAAAGTAGAGTTTTTTTTTTTATTCTTTGTAGATACCATAAATAGAAAAAAAATATACATAATGTTTTTTTTTTAGTGTATGTATCTATGTGAACATATTTTTGCAATATAATGATTTATTATTTGTCATTTTAATGATTGTACTAGAGTAATGAACATACAAAATAATTACGAGCATGTGGAGTTACCTCCACTAGCTTAATGAATTTAAATATAAATTTAAATTTTATAAACCCGCTAAATATATTTATGTAGTCTAATTTGAGTATTTAATGTTTTTAAAAAACATTTATTTACTTTAATGATAATTCTTATTTTTATTAAAAATTTGAATCCATATTAATTGTCGATTTTTAATTAAATATACTTTTAGTTTTATGAAATATGACAATTCCAATCTATTTATTTTAAAAGAAATAAATAATTATTAAAACATAGATTTAAATTATATAAATATTATATCACAAAAATTTGTTTTCTGCATGTATAAAATATTCTTTTAAAAATATCTAATAAAATTCATTATTCAGAAAAATTGTTTTCTTAAACAATTATTTTTTTAATTTTCCACAAAAAAAATAAAAAAAAAATTTTTTTTTTTATCTGTTTAGAGTATTCATAAATAAATGCATATTTTTCATACTATTAATTTTTATCCTCAAAAGGTTTAATGTTGCTTTTTATCAACCGCATATTTAACATGAACAGATAAAGAATACATTTAATTATGTGGCATTTTAAATTTTATTTAAAATAAATAGATAATACTATTTATATATCATATTCTAAAAGCTTTTTATGTTTTTCGGAATCAGGTGGGTTAACATTAACAAATAGTTGGAGAAATTTTAGGTGGAGATTTGAATGTTCATAAGAAAATATATTTTAATAAATAAACCTAAATGAAAATCATTTCATTAAACTATAGCTTTTATATAAACTTTGAGGGAGAATCATATTCATGAAAATACTAGTAAATATATTGGATAATATTTAATTGAAAGTAATAACATCGTAAGGAAAGAAAACAACTAGATAAATTCTCTTAACAAAAGTTGTAGCTATTTGAGATAGATCATTTAAAAAAGAATTATATATTTCAGAAGAATATATTTTATAATTGTAATATGATAAGTCATTTAACGTAATTATGTTGAAACAAAATATTTAAGGACAAAGAAAATGAAATTAAATGTATAATAACATATAAAAGATATGATATTAATTTCAAGATGTTAAAGAACGAAATTAAGCCTTAAAAACTTTGTTTAATGAGAAATTATATAGATTTATAGTTAAAATATTTAGAAAAACGAAAGAATAAAACTAAAGAAATCAAACACATAGTATTCAACTTAAATGAGTCAAGAACTTAATGAATATATCACTAAAGAATTACCAATTAGGATTTTTTATATAAGTTCTCATAACACATAAATAAATGGCAGAAACAAAAGTCCTCATAAAAATTTCAATCATATAATTGATTAATATAAAATGTCAATCTTTTATGTAATAGAAATTAATAAATTATAAGGAAAATAACGAATTAATTATGCTCTTCATCCATTGAAAAAATATTTAACTATAAAAAATAATATTAAATTTTTTTTTTTTTAAATTATTAATAGAATTTATTTTTGGAACAATAAAAAATTAAATTCTTAGTTGAAATAAAAACAAAAAAGATTCTGTTTTTGCTAGTATTTAATTTTTACGAATTTTTGAAAAAACTGTTAATAACTTCAATATTAATTCGTTAATTTATTTAAAAATATTATTTTAAGTAAAATTAAAAATTTTTATAATGGCGCTTAATAAAAGGAATTATTAATCTTTTCGATAATGAAAATAGCTATATATATGGAAAATATATAGTTAGCCATGCAAATGCTAGATAAAAAAAAAAAAAAAAAAGAAAAGAAAAAATTATTTTTCAATTTTTTTTT